CCTTAAAACCCCCACAAACCCAATCCTTGGTTTATTTTGGGGGCCACACCACGGGTTTTGGGGGGCGATTGGCTTTTTAACCCCCTGTTCCCTCAGTTTTGGGGACAATTGGCTTTTTAAACCCCCTATTATTCCCTCAGTTTTGGGACAATTGGCTTTTTACCCCCCCTATTCTCTCAGTTTTGGGGGGCTGATTGACTTTAATCCCCCCTATTCCTTCAGTTTTGGGGCGATTGGGTTTTTAACCCCCCATTCCCTCAGTTTGGGGGGCAGGGGGTGAGGGGAGGTGGCGGCCGTGGGCTGGGGGCGCAGTGGCTGGAGATATCTCGTGGTGAAGGGCAGCGTTGCGGAGGGCAATGCCTGCTGCCCGCACGTTTGAAAATGAAATAAAATCTGATTCTGTTTGGCACAGTGAGCGCTAGTTGTCTTGCGTTTCTTTCGAGGAGTTAGGCTCTTGCTCTCAAGAGTTTCCACTTTCCGTCTCACTTTTTTATCTCCTCCAGATCGCGTTTTGGCCCCCCAGCGCTGCGTTCGGCTTCCTTCTCTTGCAGCTGCGGGGAGAGCTGCTCTGGTGCTGCAGTTGCTCTGGCTTCAGTACTTTTCGCAAGGCTTGGCGCTTTCCGTTCCTAGCAGCTCTTTGTGTCCAGGGTGAAGCATTGCTGCAAGGAAAGACTCTTGTTGCTTTATTTGTGTTTCTGGCAACTACATATTTGTGTCACGGGGGTCTTTCTACCCAAGGTGAGCATGGCTTTTCTGGCAGAGAGGTGGTCGCTCTTGGATTCATCCTGGAATTGTAGGGTAAGATGAGGAAAGGCAAAACGTTGAGAGCCTGGGCTTGATTTGGGACAGGTTGTAAAGGTTTCTTGTAGCCGAGCTTCTTCATGATAGGACCTGTTGCATGTCTGAGATCAATGGCAGGAAATTCCCTGGCTGCGTTCACGGAGGCAAACAGAGGCTGGGGAGCTGGCACGCACGGATGCGCAGTGCCTGTGTGGGTCTGCAGCAGCCTGAAGTTCTGTTTTTGGGAAAGATTAAATGCTTCATTCATCAAGAAGAGCTAGTGTCTCTGCTTCCAAGTGTTTTAAATGTCAGCGTGAACTCTGTCACTGCTGATCAAAGCGGAGAAGGGTGATGCCACTGGAAGCCGTTCTGCTTCTTCTTGAGTGCATCGTGCTTTAACAAAGGCAAGTTTGAAACACTGAGGGTAACCATTTGGCTTATTTTGTTTTTTTCAACCCTTGTAAGCAGCAATATATTTTAATTTGGGATCCAAGAAGGCTCCTCTTGTTTGTTTTTTGCTGCTAGGAACTAAACTTAAATGGCTGATGTAATTATTCACACTTTCCTGTTCCTCTCAGAGGGGAAATGTGACCATGAAATTGCTCGGAGCAACTTCTTGTGATCACAAGATCGAGCTCTGCGTGCATACTCACCGCTTTCCATACAGCCTGCTTTATGATGCTCAAGCTACATGCTTAATTTTAGAGTTTTTTTCCCTTCCTTTTTTTCCCCCCTGCACGGGTAGTTAGTAGTAACAGACAATGGAAACCCTGGATGGAATTAAATAGTTTCTATTAATAGAGAAAATAAGACAGAAACAATTTTCTGTCTGTTTCAGAAAGCTGCTATGTCAATTTAACAGACAAGTGAGATTGTGTCCAAACTCTGCATTCATGCTGGGATTCTAGCATGAAAATGGAGACTGGTTAAGTTAGGTAGGACATATGGGGGTCTTTGGTCAAGCCCTGGCTCAAAACAGAGCCAAGCCTGGAGTCAGAGGCAGCTTTTCAGTTGGGTCAAGCTTCTGTGTCCAGCTGAAATTGCAATCTTCCCACATGGAGAACTGAGCCCTTGCTGCAGTATTCTACCACCCTCAGGGTGAAGAATATTTTTTTCCTTATCTCTAATCGGGATTTTCCCTTGCTTCTCTTTCCTTGTTTCTTGTCGTTAAGCTTTGCAGCTCCGAAACGAGTTAGGGAGAGACCCGGGGCCTTGTGTGGGGCTCAAGCCAGGACCTCCCATACCTGGTGTCTTATTGCTGCCATCCTGCTGTGATCATTGTCTTAGCATCCTTGTCTTCCAGTCCATGACCTTAATTAACTTGACATGTGCCTTCACAGCGCTCTTTTGAACCACGAATTTCAGCCTTTGTGATGGATGGGGGGCTGATCCCTGCCTTCGAGCTGTGGTAGTGGTGGGCAGTGCCTGCTCCTTGGCCAAGGAGGCCACGTTTGGGTTTGGCAATGTCTCCCAGGGTGGGTTTAAACGGTGCATGGTGGTGGGACCAGTTCTGTTGAAGCTTCTCAACTGAGTGAGCATTTCCCGTGTCACCAGGCTTGAGAGGGGCTGTCCTTGGGGAGCTGCCGCCTCGCCAAGCGGAGGGAGCAGCTCTTGCTGTGCTGCTGTGCCAGTTTGCACATCTGCGAGGTTGCCTTGGCTACCGACTCGTCTGTAACCAACAGAGAAGCCTCAAATCTGAGGACTCTCTTTGTGCCATTTCCCTTCTCTCTGTGAAGATTTTGTGCTTCCTTCATGGAGAAATTTGGGTTTTCTGGCTCAGAGTGTGGGATGTCTGAGTCTCACCTGAGTGCTGGCAGTGCCATGGTCTCTCTGAAGTCTGCTTGGTGCCTGGCTTCTGACCAGGCTCACTCCAAGCCAAGCTTTTTATTTTTTGATGACTGTATTGAGTTGTTCCTGGGAACTCTGTGGGGTTGTAGGCATGCACCTTGGCTGTGATTAGGAGGTTCCCACTCAGCTAACCTGTGCTCCTGCTGTCCAGAGACTGCTGTGAGCAGCCCCATGTGTCTTGGCGAAGGCTGAACACCTCCCTTGGGAGCAACTCTGGTGAGGATGTGGGGCTGTGCATCCTTGGAAGTGCTCCTTCAGATGGGGAAGCACGGCCAGAGCTCCTGATTGGGATCTGAATGTGGCTGGGGTGACTGTGCCTGGGACCTGCTCTGCAGAAAGTGAAAATCAGTCGGGAACCTTTCTGTGCTGGGCGAGACCTTTTGGTGACCTCTAACTCAGCCTAGCTCTGCAGTCTCCTTGTATGCATCCTCTCCCCCTTTTTTGCAGGGTTTCTTTGCTCTTTGAGAAGTGTGGGTAGGGTATCACAGCTCCTGGGTTCGTTCTTTTTTTCCAGTGCTGGGAGAGTTTGGAAGCGTGAAGCTCTTCACCCCTTCGAGATTTGAGTAGTTGTGGCTGTTGCTTAGATCAGGGGCTGGTGTCCAGGAAGCCTTGGGGGCTGCTGCTAGACCATAATCTGATATCTCTCCTCCTTTTTGTGCTCCTTTAAGCTTCTAACTCCAAAGCCTTCTCTAGGGGCTTCCTTTCTGCGCTGAAGGTTGAGATCAGCTTGCGTGCTTCTGGTTGCTTGTGTCCAAAGAAGCCCCCACTGAACACTCCTGTGCCTATTCTGGGATGAAGAAGGAGATGCCCATTTCTGCCACATGTTAGAACTTGGGAATTTTGGAGCAGGGAAAAGAGCCAGGATGGTGTTGATATCTGTGGTCTGTGTCCCTTGCAGAGAATGAGCAACCCTGGGAGACGCCCTGCACTCAGCTCCTTGTCTTTGTTGCCACGCCAGACTGTGATGGGTTTCCCAGCTTGGAATCCAAGGAAAACTGTGTGTATAGGGGCTGGGAGCGGGAGGGAGCGAGTGGAGCGGGAGTGTGGCTGTTTCTGTGCCCATCAGTTGGAAATAGCACCATGCAGCACTTCCTTCCAGTTTCAGGGAAGCAGCATCCTCACTGTGAAAAACTGGGGCAGGGAGGGAGCAATTTACCTTAGGATACTGATAAAGCAGTGGGAGAGGTTTAAAACAAAAAAAGAAACCCAAAAGTTGGTTCCTTGGGATCCTGGGGTACAGTCCCGCATGAAAACCTTTTCTCGGTGCAGCTGCAACGCCCTAGCTGGGGCTGTTGTTGCCTGCAGCAGCGTTTGAGAGTCTGGGACCTAACGTCGGCATGGGCCGCTCTGATGCTGTGTTTCAGATAAGCTGTCTGTCTCAGGAGGCTCCTTGTGGCTCTTCGCGGATGCTGTCTGGGGAGCTCTCAGAGGTGAGGTGTGCTTTCTGTCAGGCGTCCTCGCTCTCCCTGCCTATGGGGATGTCTCTCTGTGCCTCCCTTCTTCTCTAGGCTCATTTGTTAATTGAGCTCTGTCCTTTGGGGGAATCTGTGCTGAGAAATGGACTCTGTGTGGTTTTTCCTGCAGGCCTCGAAACGTTCAGCCAGCTCGTTGGGAGAGATGAGAATGGCACGGTGAGTCCTGGCCTCATCTCCCGGGGCAGTCAGCTCTCAGTAATGCTCCTACCTCCGTGGGGATGGGCTGAGGATGAGGGGTTACCAGCAGAACAGCACAGCCTCACCCAGGGCTGAGTAGAGATTCACAAATCCAGCCAAATCCCTGCCTTCTGACTGTGTAAAGCACTGCAGCTCTTTCTGGCTTGTGTGCATGCTGGGCAGTGAGACTACCCTCCTTGTCCCGCTGGCCCTGGGGACAAAGGTGACACTGATTCTCTCCTGCTGATGGCAGTGTTGCCTGCAGCCCTGCTCACTTCTTCACCATGCTTTCTGTGTGCAGTACTACATCAACGAGACAGAAATTGTGGACTTTCCCCGCTTTGCTCACCGAGGGCTTTTGCTGGACACCTCTCGTCACTACCTGCCTCTGAAAGCCATCCTGGAAACTCTGGTACGGTGCCTCTGTGGGGAGATGATGTGGTTTAGTTGGGTGTCCCTTCTTCTGTGACAACCGAGGGCTTCTTGAGTGGCCTGGAGGACTTTTTGAGTTTTTGCTCCTTCCGAAAGATCCTGGGACCTGTCTTAATGTGTAGACATTTTGTCAAGGAAGAGTTTGTCAAAGCTAGGCTTTTTGAGCAAAACCAGCTTTGCTTGTCCCTAGATGAAGCAACAGGCTGGGGCAGGATGGCAGCAGGACCTCAATTTTTAGTGTAGAGGTGTGCATGTGGAAAAATGGTTCCGTGCTGTAGATCCTTCCTTGTGCCAGTGGCTGTGTTTGCTCCTGGTGTAACTCACAACTCCCTCGTTCAGGTCATTTTGCAGGTCCCTTGATAAATGTGAGAAGGAAGAAAACCCTCATCTATCCTGGATTCCTGCAATCCAGATTACTTCCCAAGGCTGTGTGTTTTCTGAGGCGAGGGAAAACACTGGTTTCCTCCCTGCCACATTAGACGACGGTGGATGGTTGGTTCTGTGTTCAACCTGTGCAGAATTAAACTTCCAGGTCTCCCCCCATTGGGTCAGTTTTAGGGAGAAGAGGGATTTTATTGTGAGCAGAAGCACTCCTGGCCCTCTGCAACTCTTTGTGATGCTGTTGTGTTTGAAGAGAGGTGTCTGAATCCCTCTGGGGTCCTGGGGAGCGTTTGGGGACTCTGTCTTTTTGGAGCATAGGGACCTTGGTTCCTTTCTGTGGCAAGCTGGCTGACCTTTCAGAAGGGGCAGGACACGTTCACCTTTGTTCCTGTTCCTTCCCAGGATGTCATGGCTTACAACAAGTTCAATGTGTTTCACTGGCACATTGTGGATGACCCATCTTTCCCCTACGAGAGCTTGACCTTCCCGGAGCTCAGCAAGCAGGTAACCCACCCCGATCACTGTGTAGCACCCAGACCAGGGTGACCAGGTTCCTCCCTTGGCACCTGAGCAAGGCGCTGAGATTGTGTATCCCCCCCAGGGAGCTTTCAATGCCATGACCCACGTGTACACAGCCGATGATGTGCAGACAGTGATCGAGTACGCCCGGCTACGTGGCATCAGAGTTATCGCAGAGTTTGACACGCCTGGGCACACCCTCTCCTGGGGTCCAGGTGAGAAGCAAAACCCTGCCTGCTGCTGTTTTGAGAAGGGTTGGAATTGTACCAGGAGGAGAAAGGGGATCTGCAGCCTGGATCCCAAAAAAGTGTGTGGGTAGCCGTGTCGCACGGGCTGGCTCTGGGGTGGAGCAAGCCATTGGCTGGAGGAAGTAAGACCCAGTGGTCCAACTTCTAGAACAAAATCCAAAGAGAAAACGTTTCCATCTCTACTTGGGTCCAAGCTGGGTGGGTTTTGGGAACATCTGGCACCATGGGTATTGCCAGGATGTTGGGTATGACTAGGGGTGCAGCTGACCAAGCTTCCCCGCTCTGCTCAGCCATGCCCCAGTCCTGACACTCTGCTCCCTGCTCCCAGACTGCAGCTGCCTCCTCTTCCTTGTCTGAAAGTGGGAGAAGCTCCAGGAAAACATCATCTTGTCTTACTTTCTCCTTCCTCTGCCCCCGAATGCCATGTCCTGGGGTACAACCTGTACATATGATCTCAGCCAAAACCGTGGCTGCCCCCCTTTCTTGTCTGCAGTGGTGTGTGGAGCTGGGAGAGGGTGCTGGGGACTGCACTGGCATCATCTTTCCCCAGTGGCTCTGCCTGTGATTTCCTGGAGAAATCTCCCCACCCACCTTTCTCCCCATTCTCCCCCCCGCCCCCCAACAAAAAAAAAAAGCAGTGGGGAGAGATTCAGAGAGTAAACCTGTGAAGGATGTAGCATCCTGCAAGGATTTGGCGTGGCTGTGTCCGGTCCTCAGAGTAGCTATTGCAGAGGGGGGAAAAAGAGGGGTGTCCAGCTGGCCTGTGCTGAGGAGGGTCTGGGGGGTTGTACAGGGCCATATAGCGACGTTTAGCGCCTTCCTCACTGTCCTGTGTTTTGTTCCACCCTAGGTGCTCCAGGTCTCCTGACTCCCTGCTATTTGGGCAAGGATCCTTCCGGGACCTATGGGCCCATCAACCCCATCCTTAATAGCACCTACCAGTTTGTGAGCGGTTTGTTTCAAGAGGTCAGCACCGTGTTCCCAGATTTCTTTCTTCACCTTGGTGGTGACGAGGTGGATTTCACGTGCTGGTGAGTCTGAAATCAGTCTGGATATGGACTGGGAGGGGAAGTATATGGGACTGGAGTCCCAACCCATTGCTTTTTGGCCATGATCATCTGCAGATCTTTGGTGTCCTGCTCCCCCAGGCTCTCCTCCGGCTGATGTGGGAAGGACTTGGCCATGTCCTGGCTTTTCTCCAGAGCTCAAGATGCAGTGCTTTTATTCTCTTCTCTTTGCTATGCAGGAAATCCAATCCAAAAATTCGTGCCTTCATGAGGGAGATGGGCTTTGGTGAAGATTACAAAAAATTAGAGTCGTTCTACATCCAAAGGTAAGGACAGTAGCAGGTCCTGCAGCTGCGATATGTGTCCAGCACAAATGTCATCTGCTGTCTCGAGGACACTAGATCTCCTTTTCAGGAGCACTCCTGTTCAGGCATGTCTCCCTGACCCCAAAAGGAGTAGCCTAGCCACATTTTATTGGGAGATTGACCACAAAAAAGCCTGGGGCTGCAGAGAAAGAAGCTCCATAAGGAGCTGTGCTTTATCCCTTCTTCAGAAATATCTTTGCATCCTGGTGTGGCTGTTGGGAATATCGGTGCTGCCACTTTGGCTGTATACGACCAGCAAAGAGAGGTCAGTGTGGCTGGCATGACCCAAAACTCAGTATTCCTTCCACTGCAGGCTTCTGGACATCATCTCTTCCCTTGGCAAAGGTTATATCGTGTGGCAGGAGGTGTTTGACAACAGCGTGGAGGTGAGAGCTCTCTGATTTCCCTACCGCAGTGCTGGGGTGAATGCTGCCAGCACCCTGACCAGATGTATTGGTGGGTTCTAGGGGTGCTGTCCGGGGGCTGGGGTGGTTCTTTTTGGTGGTCATCCCATGCATGGGTTTCACATGTGCTCTGCAGGTGAGGCCAGACACCATCATCCACGTGTGGAAGGAGAACCCCACGCCATACATGCAGGAGATGGCAAATGTCACCAAGGCTGGCTACCGGGCTCTGCTCTCTGCCCCCTGGTACCTCAACCGCATCTCCTACGGGCAGGACTGGATGGCAGCCTACAAGGTGGAGCCCTTGGATTTTGAAGGTGTGTTCATTGTGTCCTGCTCTCATAACAGCTGACTTGTGACCCAGAGGTAGCATAAAGGCTGGGTCTCTAATTTGTTTTTGCTGCTGGTGTGAAGGTGCTTGAGTGACCATTGTCTCCCCCAGCCCAGGGTTTGAAGGAGGGCCTTCCAGAAGGGCAAGTAAAACCAAGGAGTAACGGTTTTAAGCTGAAAGAGGGGAGATTTAGGTTAGATATTTGGAAGAAGTTTTTTCCTGTTAGGGTGGTGAGGCGGTGGCCCAGGTTGCCCAGAGAAGCTGTGGATGCCCCATCCCTGGAGGGGTTCGAGGCCAGGCTGGATGAGGCTTTGAGCAACCTGGGCTAGTGGGAGGGGGCCCTGCCCATGGCAGGGGGTGGAACTCAATGGGCTTTAAGGTCCCTTCCAACCATTTTATGATTCTTAAAACACCCCATCACCTGAATTCTGTGTCCTCTGGCAGGCAGCCCCGAGCAGAAGCATCGGGTGATCGGCGGAGAGGCGTGCATGTGGGGTGAATATGTGGACGTCACTAACCTGGCCCCCAGGCTCTGGTAAGAGACACCGTGGGGAGGTGAGCTCGAGTCGTGTGGGGCAGAGCTCAGGCCTCTTTCCTTTGCTGCTGAGCAACGTGTGCCAAACGTGGGGCTTGTCCCCCTCCCCTCGTAGTGCCTCTGTGCTAGTGACAGCTTCACTGAGCCTGAAATGAGGGTTTGTAAGACTGTAATGTGCTCCTGTACAACCTGCTGCTGCTGTATTTTGATCTATAGAAGTCTTGTGCCTTTGTGTGCCAAATGACGTTAGTCAGGAAAGTGTTTGGGAGCTCAGGGCTTTGTGTGAGAAGCTTTCAAGCTCCCTGCTGCCCTAACTGCCTCTGTCCCTCGATCCTCAAGGCCGAGAGCTGGCGCTGTAGCTGAGAGACTGTGGAGTAACGCGACCGTCAGGAACCTGCAAGATGCCTACGTGCGACTGGCCGACTTCCGCTGCAAGCTTCTTGGGTAATGTCCCTCCTCGCAGCTGGCTGCCAGCTCCTGGGGACAGCACAAAGGGTTTTGAGGGTGAAGTGGGCTTTCCCTGCCACAAAATGACCCTTATTCTGATGAAAGTCCTGATCTTTTTCCCCTGCCTGTGTGTGGACAGAGCTTGTGTTGTGTGGTGCTGGAGGAGAGCCCCCGCTGCCAGTGTGGGCTGGTGGCTTTGTGCTGGGGAAGGGGGACCCCTCAGCTATTGCCACCCCTCCTGCAGCACCAGCTTCCTCAGGAAACCTGCCCTTACCCCATGCATCCACGCATGAGCAAAAAAAAAGTCTATAAGCACAGGATGGAAACATCGCCCTCTTTGTCATGCCTGGGGTGGGGCAGTGATGGCCACCCCACACTCCGCTAACTGCGAGCTCTGCCTGTGCCTGCTGCCTAATGCCATCTCCACTCTCTTTCCAGGCGTGGTGTCCAGGCGCAGCCTCTCTACGTAGGATACTGCGAACATGAATTTGGCGGGTTTTGAAGGGAGAGTCCTGCTGACCTTGGTCGCTGCACACACAGGAGGAATGATCCCCCTCTCTGAAAAGCCACTGGTTTGGCAAAGAGACCCCTTCCCACCTCCAGCTTCTGCTCTTTGTTGCAGTGAACTTTTTTTTCCTTAGCGTGCACTCTTTTGCCTCTTTTTCTATTTTTGTGTCTTTCAATCTATAAATACATGACCCCAAAGAGGAAAAAGGTGCTTTTTCCTGCTCCCTGGGCGCTTGGGAGACCATGCAAGGCTTATTGTCAGCAGGAGATGGGTAGGGCTTGCTCCAGAGATGCCCACAGATGAGCATCTGGCTGTGTGTCATCCTGGTGGCTTCGGCACTTGCTGGGTCAATGTGCTGGTGTTCGTGTCCTTGTCGCTGTCCAGGCAGGAGGCTTGCCTGCAAGCCACCCTCTCTGCTGCTATGTCCTCCACTCATTTCTCCACAGAAGACACTGTGGAAACTTCTCCAAGGAACCCTCAGACCCGCTGAGCTGATGGATGCTACAGAGTCTCTGCTCAGCTCTTCAGTCTGCTGTCCACCTCTGGTCAGGATTTGGCCAACCACTCTGTCCTCCTCCTGCTCTGTTGTCCTTGGAGTGGGGAGCTCAGCTCCAGGCCTGCAGCAGAGAAGTTTGGTTTGGATGGTCTTTTCTTTGGAGAGGAGACTGATGGTGCCGCTGTCATGTGAAGCGGGGTCCTTGTCATTGGTGGTTGGGGTTTCCATGCTGGAAACCATGTTCAGCTCGAAGCGGAGAATCTCTCAGGGAGAAATCCTGGCAGATGAAACTGTTGTATGTGTGTCTTAGTCTTAAATTACAGAGCTCTGCTGTTATGGCTGGAAACCTTTTACTATTGAAGTTTAATTTAAAAATATTGAATGAACTTTGAATTTAAAAAAACAATCAGAAATTATAATGTCCTGCATTTCTTTACCCCTCAGTGAAAGGGTACCCAACCAGTGCTGCTCTGAATTGATACATCTTAAAGCGAGATGTGAAGACTGTGAAGCCAAACCACCCTGGAGCAGGGAAGTTGAACCAGATTTGGGGGAAAAAGGGATATTTCTTTCCTGTACTCAGGATGGGAGGGCAAAGGCTGCCTTCCTGTGCCCTGTTTCCTGGGGGAAGATGCTCCTCTGCTTCTGCCAAACCTGGTATTTATGATCCAGGGTAAATATCACCCATGGTCCCGCTTCCAGGGGCTCTGTACCAGTATCTCCCCAAAACCGCCATCCTGGGGTGGCTGAGTGATGTGCTCACCCTTGCAAAGAAAAAAAGGGGGGTCCCTGCTTTTCCCCACCAGGGCCTTGCTGCACAGCCCCTTCCTTCCAGAGCATCTATTTTGGTCGTGTAAAACTTGCCGAGGAGCAGAGAACAGGCAGCGTGTGAATCACTCAGGGCCAACGGGTTTAAAAATAAACCCAAGCGGCGGCGAAGAGCAGGCACCGAGCCCCCGGATTTCGGCAGGATTCCGCTTCGTGCCTCTGAAACCCACCCAAGGGTGCCCACCCTGGGTGCTGTCCCCTTCCACTGGGTTTTACTGGGACACGCTTGCATATGTTTGCACATGCTTGTGTGCACGTGCTTGCAGCTGTGTGCACATGCTTATATGCCCGCTTGCAAATACGTGCAGCCATGCCTATGCATGGACATACATGCATATATGTGCTTGCAGACGTGCATTTGTGCGCACACGTATGCCTACAGTTGCAGACATGCACTCATGCACATGCTTGCACACATGTGTAGGTGCTTGCAAATATGTACATTCATGCACATGTTTGCACACCTGTGCACTTGCACGCACATGCAAATATATGCATGTGTGTGTTTGTATGCCCATGCACAGGCTTGCAACACGTCTGCCTGAGCAATCTCTTGGGTGTGTTTCCCTGCCTGGGTGGGCTTTTGCAACCATGTGCATGCACTGGTGGCACACACACGTGCTTGCATGTGCTCCCACACGCATGCCCCTGAATATGTGCATATGCCCTGAATGGGCAACCAGCGTGGTGTGGGGTCCATGGAGGTGAAAAATGCACAAAAGTTCCCGAATTATCCCATTTTTAGCCTTTTCTCTCTACACCCCGCTCCGCGGGTGGCAGGCCGTTAACTCTGGAACCTACTGACGGCCGCAGGGGGAGGCAGGCAGGCGGCGGAGGGTGTCGGGGGTCAGCCCAGCAGGGGGCAGTAGCAGGCGGAGCCGGGTCGCCCCG